AGACAGTTGTGAAAGAGGTAAAATTACAGGCAGAAGTCCTGAGCAAAATATGCAAAACCAGATCTACAAAAAGTAGTGTAAAATGTCATGATTAAGTTTAATATGTCATAGGGATATAAAGTTGTTTAGGCTATCAGCCAATATTAGAAAAACTTATTAAAAGATTAAAGGACATAAATTATTTAATTATTTTTTAAAATATAGAAAAAAGCCCTGTAATCCCGCGCCTCTGGGAGGCTGAGGTGAGTGGATTGCCTGAGCCCGTGGGTTCAAGACCCGCCTGGGCAGCGAGACCTCATCTCTACAGTAAATCAAAAAATCAGCCGGGCATGGTAGCACATGCCTGTAATTCTGGCTACTTGGAAGGCTGAGGCAGGAGGATCGCCGGAACCCAGCAGGTCGAGGCTGCAGTGGCCGGGCGTGGCCACTGCACTCCAGTCTGGGTGTCAGAGTGAGACTCCAACTCAAAAAAATAAAAAAATTAAAAATGTAGAAAAAGTATTTGATAAAGTATGTCTTCGTGATTTTTTAAAAATCTCTTGGCAAACTAGAAATAGAAGGGGACTTCTTTATCTGATAAAATTTATTTTAAAACATTAAAAGCCTATAGCAAGTATTACACTTTAGATGAACCATTGATAGCTTCCCATTTTAGATTAGGCATGAGATAACAATGTCTGTTATTATGGTTCTATTTCTGGAGGTGCTGGCCTACTCAGACAAAAAAAAAGTAAAGATTATTGAATTATAAAGGATGAAGCAAAACTGTATTCACAATTGTGTATGTTGCCAATCTGAAGAATCTGCAGATAAGTTATTGGAAGAGTTTTTAAAAAGTAAAGCCACATGATATAAAAACAGTATACAAGCAGTTATATTTATTTAGAACAAGCATAAAATGACATTTCTAAAGTATCTCTTTAATGTCACCTACAATATCACCCAAAAATATGAAGTACCTGGGACTAAATCTAACAAATGTATAAAGATCTGGATATGAAAGAAATCACAAAACATATTTAGAGACATTTTAAAATACCAGAATAAATGGATAGCTATGTCATTATTACAAGACACAGACAGCACTAATCATTTATCTTAAGAAGCTGAGTTCATAAAAAAAACACCAGTAAGAGTGAAAGCATATTCTATAGAGATAGTCACAACATATAATCAAGCAAGTGCTGGTATGTATAAAGACTTCCTAGAAATATAAAATGGAAGACCCAATAGTAAACAGACAAGATACTTTAAGAGATATTTCACAAGAGTGTATCTAAATGGCCAGCAAACATATAAAAAGGTGCTTAATTTCATTAGTGATCAGGAAAATGAAAACTAAAAATGCAATGAAATACCACTTTGTACCCAAAAGAATGACTAAAATTTAAACAATTAAAAAATGAAGCCGGTCTCGGTGGCTCAGCCTGTAATCCCGCACCTTTGGGAGACTGAGGTGAGTGGATTGCCTGAGCCCGCTGGTTCAAGACCCGCCTGGACAGCTTGGCGAGACCTCATCTCTACAATAAATCAAATATTAGCCGGGCGTAGTGTGTGCCTGTAGTTCCAGCTACTTAAAAGGCTGAGGCGGGAGGATCACCGGAGCCCAGCAGGTTGAGGCTGTGGTGGCTGGGAGCAGCCACTGCACTCCAGTCTGGGTGACAGTGAGACTCCAACTCAAAAAAAATGAAACTTGGCCAGGCGCAGCGGCTCAAACCTGTAATTCCAGCACTTTGGGAGGCCGAGGTAAAGGGATTGCCTGAGCCCACAGAGTCCACACCAGCCTGGGCAACCTGGCAAGACTTCATTTCTACAATAAATCAAAAAATTAGCCGGGTGTGGCAGTGCGCGCCTGTAGTTCGGGTTACTTGGAAGGCTGAGGCGGAAGGATCACCTGAGCCCAGGGGGTTGATGCTGGGGTGGCCATGAGCGTGCTATTGTACTCCAGCCTGGGCAACGGAGTGAGGTTCCAACTTCAAAAAATAAATAAATAAACTTTACCAAGTGCCAGCTAGCAAGGATATTGAGCAATCCTCATATACTGCTGATGGAAGCATAGATTGATAAAACCACTTTGTAAAACAGTTTGCATGAACTACTGAAACTGGACTTATGTGAATTCTATGATCCAGCTATTTGACTCCTAGCCATAGGTCCAGTGGGAATCTCTGAATATGTACACCAAAAATTTACATTAAGATGTTTATAACAAGGATTATTATATGTAGCTAAACATTAGACCTTAATATCGACAACAATAGACTAGATATGTAAAATATGCATATTTGAGTAAAAAGCTTGATATAAATATATACTGTATGTTTTCATTTATAATAAAAAATGAAGTTAAAAAGGTAAGAAAATTACAGACAACTGAATAGAAAACAGATCTGAATGGATACTTCATAACATAGGATGTCAAATGGCCAATAAACATCTAACATACAACATGTAATCCGGGAAATACATATTAAAAACCACATCAGTCAGCAAAAATTTAAAAGTCTAACTATATCATGTGATGATGAATATGTAGAGCAAAAGAAACACTCATGCACATTGGTTGGTGTATAAATTGTATAACCACTTTATAAAATAGTTTGGCTTTTTTAGTCATTTTGATAATAAATATACTCTCTGACCCAGCAATTGTGTTTCTAAGTGCATACCCTAGAGAAACTTATATACATGTGTGTTATAACATATGAATAAGAATGTTTATAACAATGAAAACTGGAAACAACTCAAAAATGTTAATCAACAAAAGAACAGTAAATAAATTGTAGTACTTTCATTCAATTAAGTAGTTTATAGCATTAAAAGTGAATGAACCATGGCTATATGAGGGGGATCCCCCCCCCCAAAATGGAATTATCTTTTGGAGGGCAGGCCCCTTATACTACACTTGGAATTTGTTCCTCTGGATCAGGTGGTCAACCAACATTTTTGTCTGGAAGTTTTAGGAAGGTTGCATCATGATTGGTGGAAGAAACATCCGAGTTGTGGCAAACTGGTTCTTCCACCATGACAACACTCCTGCCCACACTGCAGTAAGTGTTCAGCAGTTTTTGACCAAAAACGAAATGACCCCATGCCCCACCTTCCCTATTCACCCAATCTCACCCCATGTGACTTTTTTTGGTTTCCCTGGATGAAAAATGTCCTCAAAAGGAAATGTGTTGCCAATGTGGAAGAGGTAAAACAAAAAAATGGCAGAAGCGCAAAAAGACATCAAAATTGATGAGTTCAAAACTGTTTAGAGCAGTGGAAAAAACATCTCGGTAGGTGTATTGCATCAGACAGAGAGTACTGTGAAGGTGACAAGTTTAAGCATGTAAGAATAAATACACAATTTTTTATAAATACCAGGTTTTTGGAGGTCTTCCCTCATATATGACAGCACAACTAAATCATAAAAGACAAGACAATCATAATTGCATATAATACTATTGCTATATTTTAAAATTCAATTTAATCAAAATTCTATTGTAATCCAAAAACAATGTTAGTATTATTTAAAAATGCATATTTCAGTGAACAGTTTAAGTTAGTAACTATATGAAGAAAAGAAGAAATGTTTCTTATAAAAGTCAGGAGAGTGGCTTCCTCTAAACAGGAAGGGAGAGAGTTGGACTGGGAAGACATAAGCAGCTAATAGGAATCCATTTCTTGACCTGGGTGATGCTTTCCCAAATATTGACTTTGTAAATATTTGTTAAACTGTACATGTGGATTCTATGCAAATTTTTGTATTTAATATTTCCCACTTTAAAAAATATTATTTCACTGGTTCAGTTTTCCAGGTAGTAAAACCCATGCAATGCTTGATACAGAAGAGAAAGGGCCAACACTAGAAAGATTGGGAGCATAAGGAATAAAGAACACAGGAGAATAGATTAACTTTAGTCAGGAAGTGAGCACCTCTTTCTTTGGAGACTAGAATGAGAGAAAAAATGCAGGAGGAGGATGCATATGAATGCAGAGACATTTAGGAGAAGATTTTACAAGATTTCGGGTTTAAAATTATTGACTGGGTGCAGTGGCTCAGGCCGGTAGTTCCAGCACTTTGGGTCAGGCCGATAGTCCGAGCACTTTGGGAGGCCTGGGCAGGATGTCTGCTTAAGCCCAGGAGTGTGAGACCAACCTGGGCAACATGGTGAGACCTCATCTCTACAAAAAAAGAAAATTTGATTGGGCGCAGTGGCTCAGACCTGAAATCCCAGCACTTTGGGAGGCCAAGGTGAGAGGACTGCCTGAGCCAAGGAGTTTGAGACCAGCCTGGGCAACTTGGCAAGACCTAGTCTATACAGTAAATCCAAAAATTAGCCAGGTGTGGTGGTGCATGCCTGTAGATCCAGCTACTTGGAAGGCTGAGGAGGAAGGATCACCTGAGCCCAGCCACGATTGATGCCACTGTACTCCAGCCTGGACAACAGAGGGAGACTCTGACTCAAAAAAAAAAATCAAAAAATTCACCGGTGGCACCTGCCTGTAGTCCCAGCTATTCTGCAGGCTGAGGCAGAAGGATCATCTGAACCCAGGAAATTGAGGCTGTAGTAAGCCATGATTGTGCCAGTGTACTGCAGCCTGGGTGACAGAGTGAGAGCCCAACTCCAAAAAAAAAAAAAAGAGTTCAGGTTTATACTGTTTTAAAATGGGAAGCGTACTTCCTGTATTTGCTGAAAGGAACTAGGGAGTATGAGGCAAAATTATAGCATTTGTTCCCATTTCAGCAAATATTAAAATTTCATGGCTCCATTTAGAATTAAAATTGATGTCGATTTTTGATAATGTTTATTTATAGACAGGTTCTTAATTTTTCCTCAGGTTAGCATGACTTAATTATATAATTAACACTTTTTTTAAAAATCTGTTATTTAAAATGTAATGAAAGATAATAAATGTTTACATTTAATTGGGAGGGCTATTTTGGTAAGCAAAATATACTTCTTTTGCCAAAAAATAATGATTGTACTAACTTATTTTCCTTTTCTATTTAGGTCATGTATGGAATGTTGGTCTTCACATTAGTACTTCGGTCTATTTATATTGTTACATGGTAAGTAGCTTGAATCATCTACACTATGACTGAAATATATTTTGGCTTGTAACAGTAAATCTGTAGTCTAAATTGAAATAACATAAAACTTCACTTCCACAGGGATGTTGATAGAAAACTATAACCCAGCATTTATTATGTTATATGATAAGGAATACCAATTCTTCAGACAAGTTGTTAATAGTCATTACGTGAAAACAAAAGTTCCAAAATTAAAGACATTAGAGAAAATTAAAGAAAGCTGTGTATGATTACTTCCTTTTGAATGCATAGTGTTCATTAGTATATTAAACCTTGAAAAAATCCTACAGTAAAAAGAAATTTGTTTTTAACTTTTTCAAACCTACTTGACTAGGGAACTCCTCTAACATAACAACTCTCAAAAAAGACTATTAATGTCACAAAGAATTAGTGTTTCATAAAAGAGCATCTGGGAAATCGGCATAGTCTTTAAGAGTTCATGAAAATTAAATAAGAATTAATATTCATGAGATTACCTTAAATAGAGCCTGGCCATACAAACAGGTGGTCAAAAACTAAGTACTATGGTTTTTTTATCCTGCACCCACGTAAGTGCTAGATCATCTCAGAGAGAACCGCCTGTCTTTGCTTTTGCCTTTTACACCCTGTGACGTGCAGGTTCAGAGAGTTCGTAGGGAAGACGCTGGGACAACCATAAGCCGAGAACTGATGTGACTTGTCCAGATAATCTCACCCGAAAAGAAATGCCGAAGAGGGATGAGGAGTAAAAGGCAAAAATGGCTGGTTCCCAGGGGCTATTGACATTCAGAGATGTGGCCATAGATTTCTCTCCAGAAGAGTGGGAATGCCTAGACTTTGCTCAACAAATTTTGTACAAGAAGGTGATGTTAGAGAACCACAGTCTTCTGTTGTTTCTGGGTCTTGCTGTCTCTAAGCCAAATTTGACCCAACTGTCTGGAGCAAAGTAAGGAGCCCTATAGACACAGCACATTAGCCAGACCCCCAGTTAGGTAGGAGTGAATGAAGATGATGACACAGGACAAGGTGGGATCAGAGCTTGAAATGAGGTTTGCAATGTGGTCTGCTCCTATGAAAATAGTTCCTGAGGAGCCTGGGATTTTTTCTCTTGATGTCACAAAGGGACATCTATTGTTCCATGTGCTGAAATTCTCCAGAAACTCTTGTTTTCCTTTGGTGATTTTCCTTCAAGTTTACAGTGAAAATCACAGCTCTCTTAATGGTTCATAAGGGACTGCTTGATCATACTGCTTTTCTGTTGCTTTAGGGACACATGAAAATATCTGCTCATTTATTTACAAACTATTTTTTAGGTTTTCTTTTTGCATCATGTTGGAAATATGTGAGAGTAGTGATGACTTTGTCATTGGACTCTGAAATTCCAAGAACACTATGAACAGATGTTTTGTTTTCTGCTCTATGATTTCCTTACCTAGGGAGGTTTCAAATGTGATTCTGTAGAAATTCATACTCCAAGTCAGGCTCAAGCCTTATGCAGTAATCCTAGCACGTTGGGAGGCAGAGGCATGAGCATTGCCTGAGCCCAGGATTTTGAAACAGCCTGGGCAATTGGCCAGACCTCATCTGTACAATAAATTAGCCAAGCATGGTGGTACATGCCTGTATTTCTAGCTATTTAGATGTTCAGGTGGAAGGATCACCTGAACTTAACAGGCTGAGGCTGTAGTGACTGTGTGTACTATATGTACACTGTAGTGGCTGTAGTGGCTGTGTATATGCCTTTGTACTCCAGCCTGGTTGACAGAGAGACTCCAACTCAAAATAAATGAATTCATAGTCCATAATTTTACCAGAACACAGTCTATCTCTCTAGATAGAGAAAAACCTGATGTTATTTTACTTTAATGTTTTTTAAGTATAAGCTGAGATTGGCAATTTAAACTGTATATGCTCAGATTTTTAAAAATATACTATATCACTTAAAACATTGAAAAACATATATTAAACTTCCACGTGTTACTGTGTTTCTTAATAACTGGTTTTAAAATTCTTATGTTTAGTATGAAACTCAGGACTGAGTTGTATATATACACATATGTATATGCAGATACATATACATGTGGTGTTGTATGTGTGTTTAACATCTGAATTATTTTACAGAAATAAAATTGTATAACCACAAAAACAAAAAAACAAAAAAACTAAGTAGTATGATTTATAGGTTCACTTTTATTTCTTTTTTAATTAAACTTTTAATTTTAAGATAATTGTAAAAATGTGTGCATTTGTAAGAAATAACAGAGAAATCCCATGTACCCTTTATCAATTTCTTCCATTGGTAATATCAGGATTTGACATTAAAATAGTCAGGATACAAAGCATTTCCATCACCACAAAGTTCCCTGTGTTGCCCTTTCATAGCAAAACCTACTTCCCTCCTGCTCCACCTCCCTCACCACCCTGTCCTCAACCCCGGTGATCACTTAATCTGTCCTTCATTTCTAGCATTTTGTCATTTCAATAATGTATATAAATGGAATCATATATAGTATATAACTTTTGGAATTGATTTTAAACTCAGCATAATTCTCTGGAGGTTAATCCAAGTTATTTGGTACATCAATATTTATTCCTTTCTGTTGCTGAGTAGTTTTTCATGGTTTAAATGAACCAAAATTTAACCATTCACCTATTCAATAACATCTGAATTGCTTCCCATTTTTGGCAACCATGATTAAAGCTGCTATGAACATTTGTATATAGGTTTTTGTGTGAACAAAAGTTTTCATTTCTCTGGAATAAATGCCCAGAGTGGAATTGCTAGGTTGTATAGTAGTTTGTGTTTCTCTCAAAACTGCTGGGCTGTTTTTCAGAGTGACTACGATTTTTGCATTCCTACCAGCAATGTATGAGTGATCCAGTTTCTCTGCATTCTCGCCAGCATTTGGTGTTGTCACTGATTTTTATTTTAGCCATTTTGATAGGTTTGTACTAATATCTGGTTTTTTTCATTTGTATTTCCCATCATGGCTAATGATGTTGAACATACCTTCATTCATATGAAGAAATTTTTGTTGAAATATCTGTTTGTCTTTGCCCGTTTTCTCTATCTTTACAACAGATAACCAGGATAGTTTCTAGTATTTTACAGTTAGGACCTTTGAGATTCTAGTTTTTTGTCAAATACCTGATTTGCAAATATTTTCTCCCAGTCTGTACCTTATCTTTCCGTCTTCTCTTTCAGTAAGCAAGTGTTTTTAATTGCAATGAGGTCAAATTTATCAACTTTCCTTTTATGACTTTTGGTGTCAAGTCTAAGAACTTGTGCTTTTGGTGTCAAGTCTAAGAACTCTAGACCTAGTTGTAGATCCCAAAGATGTTTTCCTATACTTTTTTCTAAAAGATTGTATAGTCGTATTTGACATTTGAGTGTCTTGTGTGTGGTGTGAGGCTTAGGGTGAGGTTCTATTGTTTACCTATGGATGTCCAGCTGCTCTAGGACAATTGGGTTGAAAAGACTCTCCTTTCTCCATTGAATTGCTTTTGCACCTTTGTCAAAAACTACTTGGGTATATCTGTGTGGGTCTATTTCTGGGGTCTCTATTTTGTTCCATTGATTGATACATCTGTCCTTCCACCAATACCACATAGTCTAGATTACCTTTGCTATATAGTGAGTCTTCAAATTATACAGACTGATTCCTCCCACTTCATTCTTCTTTTTCAAAATTGTTTTAGCTATTCAGCATTCTTTGCTTTTTTACATAAATTTTAGAATAATATTGTATAAATTTAAAATCTTGTTGAGATTTTGATAGGAATTATATTAAACATACATATCAATTTGCAGAGTAGACAACTTTACTATGTTGAAACTTCTAGTCCATGAACACAGTGTGTCTTATTTATCTTATTTAGATCCTCATTAATTATTTCATCAGCATTTTTTAGTTTTCAATTTTTAAGCAAGTGTAAATGATATTATATTTTTAAATTTTAAGTCCACATATTCACTGCTATTTTATAAATATACATTTGATTTTTTAATATTTATCCTTTATTCTGCCACCTTGCTAAAGTAAGTTCTAGGAGGAGATTTGTGTAGATTTCTTGAGATTTGTTACAAATAGAAATAGTTTATATCCTCCTTTATAATGCGTGTGCTTTTTATTTCCTTTTTGCCTTATTGCCCTGAGTAGAACTCGAAGACTATATTGAATTAAGAGTGATGAGAACAGATATCCTTGTCTTGTTTCCAATTTTAGAGGAAAAACAGTCTTTGCCATATGATTTTCATAGGTATTCTTTATCAGATTGAGGAAGTTGCCATCTGTATTAGTTTGCTAGAATTGACATAATAAAATATCATAAATTAGATGGCTTAAACAACAGAAATTTATTTTCTCACACCTCTAGAGGCTAAAAGCCCAAGATCAAGGTGTTGTCAGGTTTAGTTTCTTCATCCCTTCTTCTTAGGTTGCAGGTGGCCACTTTGTCTTGTGTTCTCGCATGTTTTTTTTTTCCTGTGCATGTGTGTCTGGTGTCTCTCTGACTGTGTGTCTTATTCTTCTTTTCTGATAAAGGACACCTGTTATATTGGCTTTCCCTAATGACTCTATTTTAATTTAATTAATCTCTTTAAAGATTCCATCTCTAAATAAAGTCACATTCTGAGGTACTGGGGGGGAAGTTAGGACCTCAACATATGAATTTCAGGGGAGACACACTATATCCTCTATTCTCTATTTTTATCATAATTTTTTTTTATCATAAATGAATGTTGAATTTTGTCAAATGCTTTTTCTGTATTGGTTGATTTGATCCATATTATTTTATTCTGTAGTCTTTTAATAAAGCTGATTATATTTTCAGGTATTGAACTAACCTTGCCATCTAAACATTACTTAGCTTTGGTGTATAATTCTTTTTATATATTCTGAATTCTACTTGTTAATATTTTGTTAAGGATCTTGTATCTATATTCATGAAGGATATTGGTTTGTAGTTTTTTTTTTTTTGTCCTATCTTTTCCTGGTTTT